CACACGGAGATAGAATAGGCAAGGAGAGACAGAAGAAACAAAAGGAGACAGAAGAAACAAAAGGAGACAGAAGAGACAAAAGGAGACAAAAGGAGACAAAAGGAGACAGAAGAGACAAAAGGAGACAAAAGGAGACAAAAGGAGACAAAAGAGACAAAAGGAGACAAAAGGAGACAAAAGGAGACAGAAGAGACAAAAGGAGACAAAAGGAGACAAAAGGAGACAGAAGAGACAAAAGGAGACAAAAGGAGACAAAAGGAGACAAAAGGAGACAGAAGAGACAAAAGGAGACAGAAGAAACAAAAGGAGACAGAAGAAACAAAAGGAGACAAAAGAAACAAAAGGAGACAAAAGGAGACAGAAGAGACAAAAGGAGACAGAAGATATTTTGTTTACTGGATGCAGTGCCGTTGGTGTGCAGCTCGATATCCGACAACCAAGACAACACGGGGCCCTGAACAGACACAGCAGCAGCAGCAGCAACAGCAGCAGCAGCAGCAGCAGCAGCAGCAGGCACATAGCAGCAGCAGTAAGTAAAATCAGCTGCTGGTCCTTATAAGCAACCAGCAGTAGCAGCAGTAGCAGCAGTAGCAGCAGTAGCACGAGCAGGAGCAGCAGCAACAGCAGCAGAATCTGCTGATGCTGCCGTTGCTGCTGCAGTTGTTGCTGGTGCTACTGCAGCAGCAGCAGCAGCAGCAGCAGCAGCAGCAGCAGCAGCAGCAGGTGCTGACCGTTGCTTCTGGCAGGCGCATGATATCATCAACTAGCTGTGAGACTCTGTGTCTGGTTGCTGCTTCATTGAGGTGTACAGACAGCTCAGGCTCGATGACGACATGCAGCGGCTGTGCTGCTGCTGCTGCTCCCCCCCACGCTTGCTGCTGCTGCAGTGCCCCCAGGAACCCCCGCAGCAGAGAAGCAGCAGGAAGATACCGCAGCAGGTCAAACGCAGGCTGCAGCTGCTGCAGCGCGCTGTAGCTCTTTAACGATAGTAAACATAGGATAGCCAACAGCAACACTCTGCAGCAGCAACAGCAGCAGCAGCAACAGCAGCAGCAGCAACAGCAGCAGCAGCAAAAGCAGCACTGTTAGCAACAGCTGGAACAGCAGGAACAGCAGCAGCAGCAGGAACAGCAGCAGCAGCAGCCTGGTGCTGCTGGTAATGCAGCAGCACCGGGAACAGCAGCTACAGCAGCACGAGCAGCAGCAGCAGCACCAGCAGCAGCAGCAGCACCAGCACCAGCAGCAGCAGCAGCACCAGCACCAGCACCAGCACCAGCAGCAGCAGCAGCAGCAGCAGCAGCAGCAGCAGCAGGACCTGTATGTTTTGTGACAGAGCAGCCTGCCCCATAGAGAAGTCCTCATCTCTGCGAGAGACCGCCGGAGCTGCTGAGACACCCGGCTTGCTGCACAGCGCATAGCGCACAGTTGGCTTTGTCTTCGTGTTCTGTTTGCTGCTGCTGCTGCTGCTGCTGCTGCTGCTGCTGCTGTTGCTGCTGTTGCTTGTTCTTCTGGTGATGCTGCTGGTGCTGGTGCTGCTGCTGCTGCTGCTAACAAAGACCCTGAAGAATCTAAGGAAGGCCAAGGGGGAGACCATGCTGCTGCTGCTGCTCTGCTGCTGCTGTTGCTGCTGCTGCTGCTGCTGCCCCTCAGGGATGTATCAGCAGTGCCAGCTGTATCTATCCATACAGGCACAGCATTCATCTGCTGCTGCTGCTGCTGCTGCTGCTG